CCCCCTTTCCTTCCCACCTCCAAATACTATGTCAGGAGCACAGGGGGATCTACGGTGTGAGAGGGAGAGGGGTCTTTCAGGCTGAAGCCTCCCCCCCCCCTAAATGGTAAAATGTAACCCTGTTTTATGGGAAAAAATATTAAAACATTATCTCTTAAACTCATCCTTAATTACACTTCATATGACTTCAGCTATCACTTAAACAATATTTCATATAAGTAGTTAGTTTAATTTATTTTTTTTCAAAGTAATCACCGTTCATCATATATATATATATATATATATATATATATATTTATATATATATATGAAAAAAAAAAAACCTATCGGGCTGAAGCCCCCCCCAAAATTAAATCGTGGATCCGCTAGTGATCAGGAGTGTTTTCGCTTTTATATTGAGTGATAAGTGTACATTATATTTCAATGGTTTATTATGAATTATTTAATTAGGTATTATATTCTGGGTGCTGGAGTTTAGCTATTTAGAACCTATATCTAATACCATGTAGTAGTTTCATTATGGACTGCTTATTTATTTTTTTATATATGCTTTTTTTAATACAGTTATTGTTTTATATTTTTATTTTTGGATGTGCTGCCTGACTGGTCATTTCTTTTTTTTTTCTTCTTGGGAAGAAATTAATAATTGTCATATTTTTAATAATATGATGTTTATAATTGCAGAAGAAAATACAGTAGTAAAAAACGAAAATGAAACTCCAACCTCAGACGCCACTGCGGACAACAGTAGAACTGCCCCAACCTCTTCCTCCCAAGCTGAAGACGCTAATTCTAAAGATGGATATTCAACTAATTCACGTAAGTGATCGATTAATTATTTCATTTTTCGTATTAGTTTACGTTTATTTGATCTGAGGCCTATTCGTATGTTATTAATTCCGTTTTTTTTTCGTGTTTGTAATGTTTGGTACAACTGAAATAAAATAGTTATTTACCCTGATATCTTTACGGGAGTTTTAGTTCTTGAGGGGTTTACGAATTTTCAGAGGGAACCATATATTTTGTATAATTTCAATTTGAAGGAAGTTCCTAACCAAGGAAAACGAGGAAAACATGGAACAGATTTACAATTTTTCCAATTATACATTCGCCTAAAATGGTTTTAAGAAGAGAAAATCAATACAATTTCTTGGGAGGAGGATGTGTCATCGTCCTTGAGAGATGGGTTGGCACCCTGTACTTTTCATTGTTCTATTTCTTGCTGCTCTGTTATGTACTGTGCTCTGCGTTCAAAGTTGACTAGTTAAGTAAGTTTAATTTAATAATAAATTTTTAGTAATTATGGAAACTTTCCGTTAATATATCTTTTTACTACTTAAAATAACTAAGATGAAAAAAATACAGAAAATGAAACACAATCGAATAGTTCTTTTCAAGTTCTGTATTCATTTACACCTTAAGTAATCAAGTTCTAAAACCATTCAATAAGAAAACATGATTCTATCCATGTTGCCCCACGTTTCTTAGGATCTTTCATTTTCTTAACCTTTAGAATCGTTTTCCATTAAATTTCAAATGTCTGTTAAATATTTCGAACTCGATTATGCAAATAGTTACTTTGCGTGAATCAAACCAGATTTAAATAGAAAAAATATTACAGTTATAGTATGTGAATGAATTGTATAACTTGTTATTAATTATGGGAGTATTAAATCAAAAAGTTATTTATATTGTTTTGAAGAGCAATAATTCAGCTTTCCAACGCTGAATTAACACTGAATTAGGGAAAAATCTTGAGTGGTTATGGATGTTTCAGTTAACGTCAGGGGAGAACATTATAACAACGGGAAGTTAAGTCGTTGCTATGGTAACTAATTTCAACACACCTCTACTATCTGTATATATTATTTCTAAAATACGTTTTTTTTTTTTTTTGTCGGTACTCCATATTTTCGTCAATTCTTCATCAAATCCAATGATTGACCACTCATTTTGATGATCTTCACAAGCGAACAATCTTTAAATCTCTCCTCTGGAAAAAAAAAAGGAAAGGAACTTCTTTATTATTTTCTTTTGATTGTACCCATGATCACTAGCGGATCCAAGATTTAATTTTGGAGGGGAGGGCTTCAGCCCGAAACCTTTTTTTTTTCATAAAAATAACGATAATTACTGTGGAAAAACAGAAAGAAACTAACTGCCTATATGAAATGATGGTTAAGTGATTCCTTAAGTCCTTTTAAATGTAATTACACGAATAATAATACTTTAAGAGGTATTTTTAAAAAAAAAATTTCTATAAAACATGGTTTATTTTACTATTTTTGGGGGAGGGGGAAGGGGAGTTTCAGCCCGAAAGCCCCTTTCGTAGATCCGCCCTTGCCCATGATTATTAGAAATGTTTCTAAATTCTCTACAAATTAATCGTGAAATTAACAAATTTACAATCCATTGTATTTGGTATACTCAATAATTTCTTCCTCTTCCAGGATACTGCATTTGCTATTCTACTGTCCTTTTTTCCTGGCTGATATATAGTTTATTATTTCTTAAGGGCATTTTTGTAGGTACATTTTGTATTCTTTAAAATAATTTAGAGAGTCCTATGATCGTGGCTTTATTTTGAATATTACCTTTCCCTTCACCGTTAAAAAATAGGTCCGAGAAAAGCAATTTGTACAAAATTTTCGGTCTATTATGTTAAATGAAATATTGAAATCGACCAAAAAAAAAAAAAAATTAATTCTTCCCTCATATAATACATACGAACTACTTATTTCCTTATTGTTTTACTATTCTTTCACTAAACAAAATATTCTGCGAATTATTCGCACGGGCCAACTAGTTTAATAAATATTTTTAAAACGACCGAAAATAGTGATGGATTTACGGTCTACGTATTTAATTTATAACCATTAATAAATAATTTAATACAATTTTTAACATTGTGTAATTATTTGCAACCCTTTGAAATTCGCTGAAAATTCTAGATTTTAGAATTAATGAAAGAGTGCAACATCTTTTCATATTTTTTTCTAGAAAAACACAAGAGGGAAATAGGAGCTCAGTGACGCTGCTTTGCTGCTCACGTTTCTTTTTTTTTTTCAAGTTATTTATTATTTGTAAATGATAACATTTGTGTAATTATTTTAAGCGTTTTCATTTATTTTTATGTGCGTATAGTTTTTGTCATTCCACCCACTCCATGTCGCAAAAATAGATTCCTCTCTGGAGTTTCTTCATTTCAGTTGTTATGATGGCATTGAGTCGAGACTGGCTCACGACCTGAAACCTGTTCTTAGCCTCACTGACCACCATTAGCCAATCCATCATGAAGGTGCACGATCACTGAGCTCTTCTTTTTTTTTCTATCTCTATGTTTTTTTTTTCTATCTCTATGTTTTTTTTTCTATCTCTATGTTCGTCTCGTACAATCGGATTGGGCCAGATTTTATGTCTGTTAAACTTTGACGATTTTAAATCTGGTTAGGATAATTAGTTGTAATACCTAGTAAGTTTTCTAGAGTCGGAAAATCATCCTCGATGTTTTATAAATGCTATAAATTATCTGGAATTCATGTTGGAACTTTGATAAAGAATAAGCAGTGCCGGAACTTAGACATTATTCGGCTCCGGGCAATGAAGTCATTTCCTCCCTTATCTAAAAAAAAATCAATTTATTTCTTGAGCTGTTTTATATTATAAAATATTTGAATTTTATTTCATTCAATATTTCCCTATTAAATAATTAATTTATTGGTAGCCTTATCACATTTTCTATTTTTTTTTTTTAATTTCTAACAAGAGGCGAGCGCCCAGATGCCGGACTGGTGATAAGGATAGTCAAATCATTTTATTGTAAGCCAATCTATGAAAATTAATAATAAAAAAGTTTTTTTAATTTATATATTTATGAAATTTACAACTGTATAAAAACAAATATACATATAATAAATGTGGTAAATAGTAATACGGTGATATGAGAACACTTGTAGAGAATCCACCCATTGGTAGCACTCTAATAAAATTTTTATATTAGGTGATCACGATGCCATGTTCATTTCAGACGCCTTGGAGGGTTATCAGGTATAGAAGAGGAAGCAAGGTTAGAAACGAGAGGAATCGGATGCTTATTATGGAAGATTATTTATCTGGATTGGGCCAAATCGGAAACAAATGAAACATTAAGGTCTTTAATAAAAAAAAAAAAAAAGTAAAATACAATAAATCATTTTTGTACCCACATACCTATATTCAAATTAATTTTAACACTAAATTAATAAATATCGCCCCAAAAACGTTGGGAGTCTGCAACTACGTCACGGAAGCCACATGCGGCCTAGGTTCCCCACCTATGAACCATAATAATCGACGGATAAAAAAGTAAATAATAATGCCTTCGATAATATATTGCATTTACTTATTTCCACATTATATTACCATTTTTACCGACAAATATATTCTGCAAATTATTCGCAGGACCAATGAAAAAAATTAGCCACTCTGTGCCTCAGTATGATATTGTATACGTTTTGTAGTGATGTTCTGTCTTTAATTGATTTCATATGCATCGTCTTACCCTTTTCTAAACTGATGAAACCTTAATGAATTAAAAAAAAAAAAAATGCTTCTGTAAATTAATTAATCCGTAAATGAATGGATGGTGTGAACTTGTAACATTGGTCCCAAATCCAGGAAAGGTAACGAAAAATAAACTGTTTGAATTTATAATTAAATTCTAAGCCTGTCTTTATAACTGTAACCATCGTTTTTTAGGTTAAATGTATTTTGTGAATGATGTGGTAATGCCATTTCCTTTTCCTTCTTTTAATTGTTTGTGTTTAAATAGGCTACCATTTAATGCTGAAGGATACATAAATAGAGAACATTGGCCAATGAAGGATGTTGTATTATATTAAATATTGTGGGAGAGGAAGGGTTTGATTAAAGCTTATTAGGCAGCGAGCCGCGAGGGAAGGGGGCGGGAGGGGTGGTGGTCTGAGGAGAGGGGATGGAGAGGGGCGGGTGGGGAGGAGAAAGCCGGCAGTCGGTCCCGCGATGCGGGTTAGTGCGTATCTCTGTTCTGTGACCGGTGGCGGGCCGACCTAGTGTGATGTCGGTTCGGATCAGCGGGCTCTACCTCGATCCGGGGGCCAAGCCCCCCCCTGTGGCCATTGTCACCCCCCACAGGTCCAACAGTCTCGACTTCCTCAACTTCGAGGAGAAGAGGCAGCTTATAGCGTCTTCCCTGTCCCTCACCGATTTCCTGCACAAGGGAGGTTCCGTAACGAGCCCTTCGTCCCCGACAACTGGACCTATATATGGTAAATAGAGGAAAACTATATTTGTATTTATAGTATAGATTTAATTGTGATAAGCCTCATATACTTTAAAACAGTCTTATATTTATTCTGACCATATTTACATTGAGGTTTACATCAATGTTCAAATATGTTCTGTTTTCATTAGAACATCGTATTGGGTTTTTTTTTTATTATTAGTATAAAAAAAAAATTATCTGGAAAATAAACATAGAAACATTATTATTTAAAAGTTTTTATGAGAAAGCACATAATACAAACTAATTTAGAAATATAATATCCATTGTTATTATATATTATAATACCTATATATATATTTATATTTGCATACAATTTTTAAAAAATATATTTTACATTAATTTTTATTTTACGTATTTCTATTAAATTGTTAATCAAAATAACTAATAATATGTAGTTATTTAGAATTTTCATATCAACAAAAATATATGCAGTAAAAATTATTCTGAGGTATTAATTAAACCGTGATATTCAGAATGTTTTGAAAATGTAATTAAAACGCCGAAATATCTACTATTAAATAAATATATTATAGGGAAGATCTTATTTTGCTATCTACAAGAAAATATATTTTTATACATCAAGAAAATCAAGAAGAAAAAATATATAAACTTGTATCTTTTCATATGTACAACTTTCAAATTTTTATTTTTTAACGTCATTTAATTAGGTATTAAAATCTTCTTTTCCCTAAAAAATCGCCTCACTCACTCAAGTACAATTCGATGGTTGAATGAGTATAAAAAAAAAGTAAAAATACTATGATTTAAATACACCATATTATTGTAAAACGTAAAACAATCTTGCATAAGTGATGTTAGTATTTTCTACCGCTTGTACTATTGTTGAGATGAATAAGGTGGAGAAGAATAGGATAGAATAAAAAAATAAATAAAAAGCAGTCTCAAGAGACATTTTATTACTTAATTGAATTTAAACATTGAAGACGAGTAAATTGAGTTACGGCGGCCATAATACAGCCAGGAATCAAAACACTGATGCACTCTTGTGGTTTTGGTAATAAGGTGGAGGGAGTTGTTAAGAAAGATATGATACTACGATTTTCTTTTAGTGCTTCCTTGCAAATTTGGTTTTTAATATTACATTTAAATATAGGTAGGAATGTAATTAAGTAAAATAAAAAATCCATTAAAACTATGATTATTATTGCTGTTCCTAGCAGGGTACCTAAATTTAATTTAGAATATAGGTTATTTCTAAATATTTATCCAATATTGAAGTTAGTTTATATATTTATGGAAATTATTTTGGTTGTAGAAAGTTCAGAAATATCTAGTTTCGTTCAATTTTTTTTTTTTTTTTTTACGGAAGATTCTTCAAGTTGCGGAACGCTAGGACTCGGAATAGTTAGTAATAATTTGTAAAGAATTTAGAGACCTCCAGATGATCAAATTTGTTACATTGTCAATATTTCTGCGTTGAGGTAAAATCAAATCACATTTCTATACCTCAGTATTGCTTTCAACCACCATTCTGTCTTCAGACGTTGAATTTCGTCTTGAAGACGGCATGTTGATAGGTTTGACTACCAAGTGATCGATCGTTTTGTGTTTGTATGTATATTTATTTATTAATTTTGTTGGTATTTATTTTAAATTTTCGTATTATGTAACGTTAAAATACATTCATGTATGCTTAAATTCACTTTAGCTCAATTATATTGTTTGTTTAGTCATGACAATATTTTTAATTCTAGTGGATGAATTCAGATGTAGTGAAATAGCAATTTTTGGTTTTGGTACATCTTTTGAGAAAGATGTAAGATGAGTACATTATGTTCGAAAAATAACTAAATCTGATAGTTTAATAAAAATTTGGAATTGTGTTTAAAAAATCCGACAAAGAATTAGCAAGGAGTAGGTATTGAGGGATTTTAAATGATCTGTTGAATTATATTATAGATTGTTGGGTGAGATCAAAGTTCTTTTTTTTATTAGATTGCGAAAATTTCTTATCTTTAATTTGGATTTGGATATTATTATAAACAATATGTCCTGATTTTCTATCAGTAAAAATATTAAAAAGAAGTATAATTTGCAGTTTTCTACAATTTTGTCGAATCAGAGAAGTGGTGTGTTAGGGTTTGTCTTGGTTTAGTCTAATCTTCCAAAATTAGCACCAATCAATCAATTTTGTTAGATGATGTAATGTTGTGGGACGAGAGTAGAATTTTATGTCTTGTTGGGATTGTTGCACCGTCTGCTTAGGTCGCCGTAATAATTCTGGTATCTTTTGGAATATCATGTATTAATGTGATGTATATCAGCGGTTCTGCTTATGCTAGTCTAATAGAAGCATAAGTTTTTATAAATTAAAATAGATATAATTTTTTTTTTATTAGGAGCTTCCACTGTGTCAATCGTGGGTTTTCTTAACCTAGACTGCTTGGATAACTTCTTTCCATAATGTCCTACGAGTATCTAAGGCGATTAGCAGACTGTGTCGTACCGATGTTTTGGTTTATCGACCAGGCTTATTCGAATTCTATAAATCCCTGGTCGAATTTCGTTCACTAGGTCAACTCATATAGTCCGTGGTACAGACCCATTTTTTATCAAATTATTAACATCCGTTTAAAACTTTGTGATAGACTTCATCATTACTTACAAATTATTTATCTACTTAAATTCTGAGAAATGGAATTAATTTAATTAATCCCCATACCAGACTGAAACGACTAGAAACCGCCCGACGTTTCCGACTACTCCAGCACTTACTATAAAAACGCTCTAAACTGCCAACTATTTACAAAAGACTCATATATATTACTAATAAGGCCTATTTGGACTTACGGGATCGAGCTTTGGGGCTCTATAAACCATCAAATCCCTCTCGTATCCAATCCCTACAATCCAAAATCCTTCGTAAAATCCTTAATGCTCCCTACTTTGTCACAAATCAAATCATCCATAATGACCTTAATGTACCATATGTTTCCGATTTAGCTCAATCCAGATACCTGTCCTTTCATAATAAACTTCTGAACCATCCGAACCCTCTCGTTTCCAACCTTGCTTCCTCTTCTATTCCTGATAACCCTGCGAGGCGTCTGAATAGAAGATGGCCTGGAGATCTTCTAATATAGAAATATAATTGGAGTGCTACTAATGGGTAGTTTCTCTTCATGTTGTACATGTCATCTTACTTGTTCATATTTACTTGTTGTATTTATTATTAATTACAGTTGTAAATTTCGTTAATAAAAAAAAATTTAATTAAGTACTAAAAATGCATAAATACCCATTTGCTTTCCACTCGAATCCTAAGATAATTCAATCATAATATTGAGGGAAAAAAAGATATATAAACTTGTATCTTTTCATATGTACAACTTTCAAATTTTTATTTTTTAACGTCATTTAATTAGGTATTAAAATCTTCTGTTCCCTAAAAAATCGCCTCACTCACTCAAGTACAATTCGATGGTTGAATGAGTATAAAAAAAAAGTAAAAATACTATGATTTAAATACACCATATTATTGTAAAACGTAAAACAATCTTGCATAAGTGATGTTAGTATTTTCTACCGCTTGTACTATTGTTGAGATGAATAAGGTGGAGAAGAATAGGATAGAATAAAAAAATAAATAAAAAGCAGTCTCAAGTGACATTTTATTACTTAATTGAATTTAAACATTGAAGACGAGTAAATTGAGTTACGGCGGCCATAATACAGCCAGGAATCAAAACACTGATGCACTCTTGTGGTTTTAGTAATAAGGTGGAGGGAGTTGTTATGAAAGATATGATACTACGATTTTCTTTTAGTGCTTCCTTGCAAATTTGGTTTTTAATATTACATTTAAATATAGGTAGGAATGTAATTAAGTAAAATAAAAAATCCATTAAAACTATGATTATTATTGCTGTTCCTAGGAGGGTACCTAAATTTAATTTAGAATATAGGTTATTTCTAAATATTTATCCAATATTGAAGTTAGTTTATATATTTATGGAAATTATTTTGGTTGTAGAAAGTTCAGAAATATCTAGTTTCGTTCATTTTTTTTTTTTTTTTACGGAAGATTCTTCAAGTTGCGGAACGCTAGGACTCGGAATAGTTAGTAATAATTTGTAAAGAATTCAGAGACCTCCAGATGATCAAATTTGTTACATTGTCAATATTTCTGCGTTGAGGTAAAATCAAATCACATTTCTATACCTCAGTATTGCTTTCGACCACCATTCTGTCTTCAGACGTTCAATTTCGTCTTGAAGACGGCATGTTGATAGGTTTGACTACCAAGTAGTCGATCGTTTTGTGTTTGTATGTATATTTATTTATTAATTTTGTTGGTATTTATTTTAAATTTTCGTATTATGTAACGTTAAAATACATTCATGTATGCTTAAATTCACTTTAGCTCAATTATATTGTTTGTTTAGTCATGACAATATTTTTAATTCTAGTAGATGAATGTCACCTCGTTATTTTGACGTGTCGGAGGATGTAGGTCACGTCAGAAGGCCCAATATTTTAGAAAGCCATTTATTAATAGATTTTAGATTCAAATTATCTTACGATTCAAGTAGAAAGTTAATGGGTTTTCATTCAGTTTCAGTACCTAATTAATTAAACAACGTTTGTCGATCTCTTGATTGAAAACTCCCCAATTCCCAGAATTTTAATAGATATAAAAGTTTTAGGTTACGATGAGACAGAGCTATTCATGAAGTTTTAGGGGGATGTTAATAATTTGATAAAAAGGGACCTGTGCCACGGACTAATATGATTTGGGACAGAAAAGAATTATTAAGTTAGCACCTAATTTTTTTTTTTACAATATAACAAACAAAGTATAATCCGATGGAGAAAATTAGTAGAAGTAAAATGTACAGATTTCATAAGTTGATATGTACATTTAAATATATATTTATATTTTTAAATATAAAATAATAATTTTGGGGGTAGTGTCCTAGACAGAATGACACCCTCTACTGAGCAATGTGGTCAGATTGAGGGCAGGGCACCCTTTGATCAAAGCCTCGGTCTGATAACTTAGGGCCGCCCTTATCTA